CCACTTTTTCCACCTACTTGAGCCCATTCATCACGAAATCACAATGATTCACCTTCTCCGCAACTTTGGTAACATGAAAATAACATTTTTTTCAAAGATTCAACATCCGGTAGGACAGGAAGTTACTGCATAACATGAATGAGTAGTTATTTAATCATGTAAAATCTAGTTACCCATATATTATTTTATTATTAGACAATTACACTATGTCAACATGATAAAACCCATACACCCAATATTTACTCCCTCCCTTGGCACACTGGTGAGACTCAAACTTGACATCTCAATACAGTACCATCTAAAATATTTCCAAAATTACTTGTGTTGGACGTTGGAATTTCTTTAGTAACTCGTGGTTCTCTTTTTAATAAAAGTAGTAGTAGTAGTAGAAGTAGTAGTAGTAGTAGTAGTGGTCGTGGTGGTGGTGGTGAGGTTTGCACTCTAATTAGTTAAAAGACCAAAAGAACCAATTGGTGGGGCCATGTTATCATTAACTTGCAATCATTTACAATGGTAATTTTTCATGTGTGCCAAAAACACGTATTAGCATAGGTGAAAAAGATCTGGAGTTGTCTAATTGTCCTTATAAACCGAGTCGAACAATACAGACTATTTCACAATGGACTTGTTGGAGGCTAATTTAATATCCAAGTTTTGCGATAACCGAGCCAAATTTGAGGACATTTTCAAGATCGTGTACTTTCTTGTGCTTGACCCAAATTCGACTTGGTGAGCTAATTTGCATCCAAGAACTACAAAAAAATGTCTAAGTTACTCGAACTCGACTCAACTAGATTGACTCATAAGATTAAAGAACCAAACTGGAGCAATTTACAACACTTTTGCTAGACTCATTAAATAATAATGATGTAATATAAACATACATAGTACTGGAAATAGATGGAGTTAGAATGAAACCATAGAAATAAAACCAAACTGAGATTAACTAAGAGACCACCCACGAATATCTATCGCTGATATGCTGGGGATAAACGCAGACCAAAATTAACTTTAAATGAGATAAGAAAAATAAAAAAGGGCATAAAGAAACATTGCTACAGTACAATAGAAGAACAGGATGAAGAAATGAACATGCTTTTATATACTACTAGTGGANTAGGAAGTTACTGCATGACATGAATGAGTAGTTATTTAATCATGTATAATCCACTTACCCATATATTATTTTATTATTAGACGATTACACTATGTCAACATGATAAAACCCATACACCCAATATTTACTCCCTCCCTTGGCACACTGGTGAGACTCAAACTTGACATCTCAATACAGTACCATCTAAAATATTTCCAAAATTACTTGTGTTGGACGTTGGAATTTCTTTAGTAACTCGTGGTTCTCTTTTTAATAAAAGTAGTAGTAGTAGTAGAAGTAGTAGTAGTAGTAGTAGTGGTCGTGGTGGTGGTGGTGAGGTTTGCACTCTAATTAGTTAAAAGACCAAAAGAACCAATTGGTGGGGCCATGTTATCATTAACTTGCAATCATTTACAATGGTAATTTTTCATGTGTGCCAAAAACACGTATTAGCATAGGTGAAAAAGATCTGGAGTTGTCTAATTGTCCTTATAAACCGAGTCGAACAATACAGACTATTTCACAATGGACTTGTTGGAGGCTAATTTAATATCCAAGTTTTGCGATAACCGAGCCAAATTTGAGGACATTTTCCAGATCGTGTACTTTCTTGTGCTTGACCCAAATTCGACTTGGTGAGCTAATTTGCATCCAAGAACTTCAAAAAAATGTCCAAGTTACTCGAACTCGACTCAACTAGATTGACTCATAAGATTAAAGAACCAAACTGGAGCAATTTACAACACTTTTGCTCGACTCATTAAATAATAATGATTTAATATCAACATACATAGTACTGGAAATAGATGGAGTTAGAATGAAACCATAGAAATAAAACCAAACTGAGATTAACTAAGAGACCACCCACGAATATCTATCGCTGATATGCTGGGGATAAATGCAGACCAAAATTAACTTTAAATGAGATAAGAAAAATAAAAAAGGGCATAAAGAAACATTGCTACAGTACAATAGAAGAACAGGATGAAGAAATGAACATGCTTTTATATACTACTAGTGGAACAAAAAGTGTTCTTTCCACGAGTCTGAGGTAGGCATAAAAGCGAGGGCACAGGAATTAAGTTCATGTAGGTAATAAAAATTTAAAAATAGTACTAAAATCAAAAGAAAAAGAACATAAGATTGAATACACGGTTTTGTTTCAGAGACTCCTACAGCTGAATGCCAAGCCCAGTTTTACTCAGTGGTCACTCCACACCCAGCATAAACTACAGGGCAGCATTTCTTGGAACACTTCTAATCTATGAGGCCCTTCAAACAACACCACAATGAGTTCTAATTTTTCTGAAAGGAGAACAATTTTCAGAGCCACAATCACACAATCTCAAGTTTATATTCATTTTGCAAACTTGCTCATGACCTCCCCCGACATTGAGCTTAAAGCCTAGACCATAAAAGAACACCAAAGTTCCTCTTCGAACTGTGTTTCACAAGGAATGGAAAATGTATCATCCTTTCCACGATATTAGCCAACCCCATATTTTTTGCAGAGTAATATGCAAGCAAAAACAAACAATTTTTTCATTATATTCTATTTCTGCATAATTCACAGGGAAATAGAACAATACAACCTTTCAGAAACAATTAACTGTATCCTACCCTGACAAAACTTAAACTCAGAATTGACCAAAGGCTATTTGGCAAGATCATCAATACCAAACAAGCCCACCTTTTAGAACCCATGAAAGTCACAGACACATAATCATAAATTTGAATACTAGTCGTCAAAAACAGTGGAAGAACCTCTCAGCATGCTGCCTATTTCCTTCATCAAGATAAATCAACCTTGCACAAACTAAAGAAAATGAAGCAAGGAGTAGAGATGAAAGAAGAAGAGTGGAAAATGCAGAAAGAGTAAGAAAAAGAAGTGACAACCCACATCTAGGAACCAGTACTTGGCTCAGTCCACCATATCTAAAATACATCTTATCAAAAAGAAATAAAAGACACGAGAACATTGGAAAATGAAAGTTCACAGAGAAGCATAGAAAGACGGGGAAGCGTGGCAAATTTGGTTTTTTTTTTTCGGGGGGACACTGGTCTTAGACAAATAATAGATCGAGCACTAATAAATGTACCAACGGACAAACAATAATGTCAAATTGCAACCTTTGTAAAGATACATATACAGCAATACTACCACCTTTTTCCACTCCCTCCATTTTCTACAGTTCCTCCTAATTCTTCCTATCTATGTGACTTGCAAAACATGCACAATAGACAAATTTCTGAGTATAAAATACACTTACAGTTGAACCTATAGTAGAAGTTAGACCAAAGTTCAGACTTCAATATACCAAGCAAATATAATTGACACAACCCACACACCAGGACAAGTGTGAAGTGAATGTACATTTTGGGTAGCAATGTTGTAGGTTACTGTATCCCCAAATGAGAAACAATTTTTTGTCCAGAAACCACCGTAATGAATGAAAAGGCAACAAGCAGGATGGAAGAGGGGCCACTAAAAATTCATGAGGAACACGGCCTGACAATCCATGTATGAATCTATATGGGCAACATTAAATTCAGTGGCCCATATCTTTTCCCTCGCAAGGCAAAAAACTTGAAACCAATGATACTATAAAAATTACCTGTGAAAAAACAATTTGAGTTTGACCTTGAATCGATTACACTTAGTTAACCATTCAGCTCATAGCAACATGGTGCAATAGCAATGCTAGTCGTCTCAGCAACATCTGGTTGGAGTTGGCCTCAAGAGAAGCTGACCTAAAAAAAGTCAAAGGGGGGAAAATAAAAGGAAAAAGAAAAGAAGAGAAAGAAAGGAAAATAAAGGGGAGAAAGAAAAAAGAAGATGAGGAAGTAAGGCCCAGGGTTTGATCAACATTGTGGATATGACAATCTTAAAATTCATAAAAATAGCATTCATCTCACACAATATTCAGCTATTACTCTCAAAAAATTTTAAGATTCAGTGGGCTGCCCTAACAGTAAAAGCTCCAGACATTTAATTACCAAAATCTGCAGCTGCATACCTTCATATACCATCAGAGAAACAACCCTGCCAAATTGATCAGATAAAGCGCCAAAAGAAACCAGCCCATGGAACCTGCACGTGTTTGGAATGTAACAGGCCCGCCAAGCCATTAAAGGTAAACAAAATGGAATGTATTATCTTCCCCAAAGAAATTGTATGCAGCAACTTATATTGATCAGATAGCCCTGGAATCAATCAAGAAGTGGATCCCCCTTCCCACATACATAAAGGCCCATCGGACTTAAATTGGAAAAAAAGTAACCGTTAAGGGATTATAAGATTCAAACAAATGACAGAACATGCAGGGTCACAATTATCCTTGAACTGACAATTCAATCAGAAATTCACTAGCTAATAATAGGGATAATAGTCCAACATACATCATCCCGATTAAGAAGTTCGCTAAAGACATTGCACAGTCAATCCCAGACGAGGAGAAGAACACTTCTTGAAAAACCTTGACTATCTCACGATCAGCTCACACAGTATAGCCAATCCATTCCTCATAGGACCTGCAAAAGAAAACAAACAGAAAGANTCCAGACGAGGAGAAGAACACTTCTTGAAAAACCTTGACTATCTCACGATCAGCTGACACAGTATAGCCAATCCATTCCTCATAGGACCTGCAAAAGAAAACAAACAGAAAGAGCATATTCATTGTATCGAAGAGCCATAAACCCACATACTGATTCTGAACGCCAAAGAAACACCAATCAATCTTCTAAGAGGTAGTCATTCTTCCAGGAACCAGGATCTCTTTCCTCAGAACCACACTTCGACAAAACTTATTGGTCAACTTGTTACTCAAATTAAACCATGCCTCCATGCAAGTGTAACAGCTGTCGCCACATCCCCCAGGCAAATATTGAAAGCAGCATTATATCACATTCCTTCAGCTCTAAGTTGTTCACTCGTGATAGCGTCAGTTTTCTCATGATCACTGTCATCCCCCCCAGAATTGTTGTAATCATCCTCATTGTTGACAACTTTCCCATTGTCATTTTTTGTAACCAAGGAGCCCTTGTAAGTCGATGACAGAGAAACTGGTGTCCCATCATCCTTTACATTCATTGAATCCTTGAAATTGAGATCAAGTTCAGCACCGAAATCCTCATACTTGACAGGTTCTCTATCATGTTGTTTTGTATTTTCATATATTCCATTATCATTCGAGTGATTTTTATTTTCTGCAGATTTTGACCTTGAGCGCCTTCGGTATTTTGGTTTGTGTTCATCTGAATGTCTTGGTGACATCCTACTTCCCTTGTGCCGCTTATTTTCACAGGATTTTGACCTGGACCGCCTTCTGCCATGGTCCTTTGATTTCTCTTCTCTACTTCTGTCATTTTTATTACTTGACTGATTCTTATCTTGTGGAGATTTGGACCTAGAACGCCTTTTGTGTTTTGATTTACTTTCGTCCAAAACTCTTGCAGACAATCTACTTCGTCTGTGACCCTTATCTTCTGCTGAGGCCGACCTGGAGCGCCTGCGGTGCTTCGACTTTCTTTCTCTGCTTTCATCAACTTTATCATTGGAGCGATGCTTACCTTCTGCAGATTTTGATCTGGAACTCCTCCTGTGTTTTGGTTTTATTTCATCATCACTCCTTGGGGATGACCTACTTCCCCTCCGGTGCTCTGGAGATCTTGAAGCTGCACGAGAAGATTTCCTAGTCCTATGTGTTGGACTTTCTCGGCGACGTTTTGGCGACTCTGAATCATCTCGATATGACTTTCTGGTTAGAGGACTAGTGCTCCTACTCCTATATCTCCTCAAAGCAGAAGAATGATGATCATGTAAGCGATCCGAATCCTGCCTTCTACTTTTCTCACTGCTATCCCTAACATCCCTATATGACCGCCTTTCACTTTCATAGCGGGAGTAATTGCGAGACCTAAATGGTGATCTGGATCTATGATCTCTTGAGACACGGGGACGAGGTGAAAAAGAGCGAGACCTTCGCTTTCGGCGATAACTGACAGGAGATCTAGACTTGGATCTTGACCTTGCACGGGTGGTGGATGGTGACCTATGAACAGTTGCAGTTGTCAGTCTAACAAGTTTTGGCAGGAATGAAANCCAAACAAAGAAAAGGAAAAAAAAAAAAAATTGTTCAATACCGATCAATACAGCAGAGTCCTAAAAATGAGGAAGATTTCGACTCATTCCGATGAAGATGAAGCGCGTGCCCGCGATCCCTTTCTCTCGAAAAAACTAGAGGCTCGGGGCATAGAGGCAAATGATGAGTTTGAATTTTACTGCGTCAAACCCAATAAAAATAAGCAGAGAAAGTCCAAAAAAAAGTCCAAAAACAGATAGATCAACCAAGAAGTCAAGTGAAAGTCCAAAACAAAGATCAAGTCCATCCTCAAATGGGGCGCCACCCATGAAGACTCCAAGTGGGCATCGCCCATGTGGCCTCAAGTGGGCATTGTTCATGCTTTGCTCATCCTCTCCTCCTCACTTCACTCCAATACAAGTCTAAAATCACTCCGGATCCAAGTCTAAAGTTAAGTACGAGCTTAGTCCAGTTCAAGACCCTCTTTCGAATAAATAGGTGCACGAGGAAAAAAATATTAGGATAGGCACGAAGATCTCCTACCATTGTTGTACTTACTAAAATAGTAGAAGTCTTCCTTCTCACGTCACCGCCTCACCGCCACATCACACCTATATAATGTAAGCCCTCTCCATATAGAGGGTTTGCTCTCATAACCTTAAGATCCTACATACACTACACATTCCTATACACATTGTTCTCTCTCTCTCTCTCTCTCTCTCTCTCTCTCTCCAAAACACTGTAATACATCGGAGTTATTCTCCCGGTGACATTGTTCATTAATAAAACACCTCANATCCACGAAGCTGCAGGGATTTCGCTATTGAGAGAGTTGAATACAGAGAGCGGTTGTACAATCCACGATTAACCCTAATCACCAAAACAACAGGGTTTATATGTCCTACGCACTAGGCTGTATAACGGGCCCAAAAAAAATTTTCCTAGATGCACATAAATTTTCCTAATCGGCCCAAGCCTTTGCTCCATGGACTAAGCCTCAGAAAATTTTCCATTAAAAATCACACAATATTACTTCGGGTCGGGTCATCATCAGGATCACATATACAAACTAGACTCCGTAAAAAAAAACCAACAGTATGGAGTCTGCTACTTACGTTGTCAATTTATTTTATAGATGCACATAAATGATAAATGACTGAAGTTTTAGTTCACTTCATTGAGATTATCATGCATAGCACCTAATAGCCAAGCATTTGTGAATAATCGAAAATTGCCTTGAAAATGGTGATCAAAAAAGATACGAGCTTAGTACAATTGCACAATTGTCAACTGAATATTTTATTAAGGCTGCTAGCTAACCTATGTGTATATTAATCAAACCAGCTAGTTACATGTCATATACTATAAAAATTATACATCTTTACATATATAGACATACAAACAGCTGCGGACACGTGTGTGTATGTGTGTGTAATACATATTAAGAAGAAGAAGAACAAGAAGACACTCAGCATTATATATGTCACATGCATAATACAACTCTCCAAGCTTGGCAAAGGCCAGCACGTAACCTAATTTTCATTGTACATACTTGTATAACACTTGGGTTTACGAAAAGGTGATCGCATATGACCTCCAAACAAAACCTTATATTTTATGCCACCTTTAAGAAAGACACGTTGCGTATGAACCCCGATTCATCACCAAACAACGATGGCAACGAGGTGTTGGATTAAACCCTTAGGTCTATTTTTGCCTGCTCAACCATGGAAGTGTCGGATTGCTCAAATTATCATAAATAACACTTAAAACAAGACGATAGAACCACAATAAATGTTGAAGGGGAAAAAGAATTTTCTTTCTCAATGACAAGTGTTACATGATATAGAAGTAACGAGAGATCCAATGGTGTCGATAATTGTTGCTTGTTTGATGATAAAAGCAGTATATATAGAAGTCATGATAACTCGAAAGTGAAACTAGAGGCCAGCTTAAAGTACCAAATCTCTGGTGCATACCCATTAGCCTATTTAGCATTCTGCAACTTAAACGAAAGTGTTTATACAACATGAACCAACTTTTAAAATCTCATATCACTTTATAGACTGTGTTGAGTGTTTTATAAGCATAAACTCTTTAGAATTTCATATCATATTGAACCAACTTTTAAAATTGTGCGAGTCTAGCTCAAATAGGGTACAAGGCAGGCACAAGTTGTTACTAGAAGCAAATCATCTCTTTTTCTTCCGGGGTCATTTTTGAAGAAATTTAGAATAGATGAGAAACAAAACATAAAAATGTAAAGAAAAACAAGATGCAAAGAATTAACTTGGTTCTGTACATCGTGCCTACATCTATGGACCAAATGTCTTATGGATTACATCAATCTATTATTGATGGTAACTTTATTCAAGGTCCTCAACCTTATTTATAAGATGAGTAAATACATTAGATAAATATGAGATAAATCATAAATTCTTAGCTATTGGGATATTGATAGATCTTATCATATATTCAAAAGATAAAAATAAATACCACTCGTGCTCATCATCTGTACTTATCCAGACCGGACAGTGATAGATTTTTTTTTTTTGAATTCTATCAATTTTCAGGGGCCAACATATTTTTCACGTCCTCCACCGCCCAATCTTGTTTCATTTGTCTTTAGTTACTTTTTTTTTTTTTTTTAATGTTTTGCAAACCTTCTTTTTATGGGTAAATTACACATTACCCTCTAGAACTATTACCTTTATTTTACTTTACACCTTCAACTATAAATTTCTCACTTTACACACTAAAATATCAATTTTATTTTATATCACTCTAATAGATAATGACAGTCAATATTTTTTACGGTAAATGCGCATGTGAGGAGTTTGTACTATCAATAAGTAACTGTTTATTGCACATATGCAGATCAAAAATCAAAAAAAAAATTCATCCATAATTTTGCTCTGACCTTTTAGAATCATTTGATTGTAAAATAAGTAAAATAAAGTGGCACTAGACGCTTTGCATGAAGCTCTTTAGGGTTTCCCTCTCTCCTTTGACAGATTTTCAAGTTTGTCATTATCTATTGGAATAATATGAAATAAAATTGATATTTTGAGATTAATGTGAAAATTTTATAATTAAGAGTACAAAGTAAAATAAAAATTATAATCCATGGGATAAAATATAATTTACTCTTTTTCACCTTTGAGTTTCTATACCTTTTGCAATTTGCACCTTACCACAAAATAATTATTAGAATAGTCCAATTAGGGAAGTTAAAGGTACAAAGTAAAATAAAGATAATAATTTAGAACGTAAAATATAATTTACTCTCTTTTACCTTTGAGTGTCTCCCAGTCCCATAATTAAAAAGAAAAATTACACTTTGACCCTTTGGTTACATCTTATGTTCCACACTATACGCTTAACTATCACATTCTTCACATTATACCTCCAACTATTATGATTACTGATGAGTCTGAATTTTACTGGGTCAAGCCCAATAAAAATAAGTCGAGAAAGCCCAAAGAAAAGTCCAAGAATAGATAAATCAACCAAGGAGTCAAGTGAGAGTCCAAAACAGAGACCAAGTCCATCCTCAAAGGGGCACCCGCCCAAGGGACCAAATGGGCGCCACCCAAGGTGCCCAAGGGGCGCCACCCATGAAGACTCCAAGTGGGCGTTGCCCATGTGGCCTCAAGTGGGCGTTGTCCATGCCTTGCCCATCCTCCCCTCCCCACTTCACTCCAATACAAGTCCAAGATCACTCCGGATCCAAGTCCAAAGTTAAGTACGAGCTCAATCCAGTTCAAGACTCTCCTCCAAAGAAATAGGAGCACGAGGGAAAAAATATCGGAATAGGCAGGGCATCTCCTACCATAGTTGTACTTACTAAAACAGTAGAAGTCTTCCTTCTCACGTTACCACCACATCACACCTATATAATGTAAACCCTCTCCATACAGAGGGCATGCTCTCATAACCTTGAGATCCCTACACACACTACACCTTCCTATACACATTGTTCTTTCTCTCTCTCTCTCCAAAGCACTGTAATACATCGGAGTTACTCTCCTGGTAACATTGTTCATTAATAAAACACCCCAAGCCACCGTCGGCATTCTCAGGAATAGAATAGGTCATCTAGACTGAACCACTATAAATCTCTGTGTTTTCTCCTTATTTACTGCTTTAATTATTTATTGTCATTGATTGCTTGTTATTGCTCACTAATTGCACTCGTTTGCATAATAAACTATTGATCTTGCACGAAGACAATTTTGTGCATCATCAATTACTAGTTTCACATTATCTCTGTAAATATCACATTTTTCACATTATTTCTCTCCAGATATAATAAATAGTTTCACGTTACCCTAACTGCATGCATTAAGCCAACTGGGCATTTGGTTTTGGAAAAACGTAAACTTTAATGGAAATAGCAAATATGAGGAACTCAATAGTTAAGGAGACAAAGTGAAATTGAGATTATAATTGAGGCCATTATATACATAATTTATATAATAAAATAATTTACAATTCAAATCTCAAAAAGATAAACAAAATGACTTTGCTATTCGCGGTTGAAATCTCTTTAAATTTTATTTTAAAATTAATCTAACGGCTAATATTAACACTCTAAATTTAATACAAATAATAGGCTCCTAAAAGTGTGTTTGGGGTTACTTTTAAAAAGTACTTTTAAAAATTATTTTTCATAAATAATTTTAAAAAAAAATAATATTTCAAACCGCTCCACCACTACCTCCACCACCATCCCCCGCCACAGCTACCTTCACCACAACCACCACCATCACCGTCGTTGCCACCACCACCACCACCATTGTCGCCACCACGGTCATTGCCACTCATCACCACCATCACCGTCTCCTACCACCACCACAGTCGCCCACCACCTCTCACCCCATTACAAAACGATGCTTAAATTCTTTTATCTATTTTCTATGTTTGTGATTTGATTTTGAATATAAACACACATATGATTATTGTTTACTATTTTTTATTATTATGTGCCTGAAGACACAGACAATAACTAGTTCTCTTATAAATTACCATTATACTGTCACGGAAAGACAATGGCATCTCATTTAGAAATTCATGAAATGGACGTTCAAATTCAAACACACGAGAGAGAGAGAGAGAGAGAGAGAGAGAGAGTGTGTTTTTATACTGATTTTTTGTGTGAGTTAGCACAATTAACAGACCTATACATCATGGAAAGGATGTTCTAAAAAACAGAAAACGATAAATCAAAGCATTGCAAGTGAGGGGATAACTCAATGTCAACCAAAAGATTTAAAAGGTAAGTTAATAGCCGCCTGCTTAATCTAAGCAGATAATGAATTCCATTGCCAAAGATCAGAGATTAAAAATGAAAATTTTAAATGTTGATCCTCGTATTTTCTTTCGCATTCCATACTTCAAAACTATCTGCTTGTACAATACATATTTAACTACTAGTATTGTACTCGACATAGTATTCCTTATGAATACCTCAACATTAACAGAGTATCCGTTTTTCAAAAGTTATATAACAAACACGCCTAATCTATGTAGATAATAAATTAATTAGTGTACATCTTATCTTGATAGTTACCTTCTATTGCATAATGCAAGGCCAAAAGTTTTAACTGTTCTAATGCAGAAAGAGTCAAGAAAGAGAGATTAATGTTCAAAAGTTTTTATTTCTTAAATTTTTTTTTTCTTTTTTTATACTAATTTTTTAAATATTACTTAACATCCCTTGATGGGCTAAAAATTTAATAAACTTTACGATTAAAGAATGACAAACATACTTGAACCTTATTTTGAGTGGATTACACCCAATCCTACCCACTTTTTCCACCTACTTGAGCCCATTCATTACGAAATCACAATGATTCACCTTCTCCGCAACTTTGGTAACATGAAAATAACATTTTTTTCAAAGATTCAACATCCGGTAGGATAGGAAGTTACTGCATAACATGAATGAGTAGTTATTTAATCATGTAAAATCTAGTTACCCATATATTATTTTATTATTAGACAATTACACTATGTCAACATGATAAAACCCATACACCCAATATTTACTCCCTCCCTTGGCACACTGGTGAGACTCAAACTTGACATCTCAATACAGTACCATCTAAAATATTTCCAAAATTACTTGTGTTGGACGTTGGAATTTCTTTAGTAACTCGTGGTTCTCTTTTTAATAAAAGTAGTAGTAGTAGTAGAAGTAGTAGTAGTAGTAGTAGTGGTCGTGGTGGTGGTGGTGAGGTTTGCACTCTAATTAGTTAAAAGACCAAAAGAACCAATTGGTGGGGCCATGTTATCATTAACTTGCAATCATTTACAATGGTAATTTTTCATGTGTGCCAAAAACACGTATTAGCATAGGTGAAAAAGATCTGGAGTTGTCTAATTGTCCTTATAAACCGAGTCGAACAATACAGACTATTTCACAATGGACTTGTTGGAGGCTAATTTAATATCCAAGTTTTGCGATAACCGAGCCAAATTTGAGGACATTTTCAAGATCGTGTACTTTCTTGTGCTTGACCCAAATTCGACTTGGTGAGCTAATTTGCATCCAAGAACTACAAAAAAATGTCTAAGTTACTCGAACTCGACTCAACTAGATTGACTCATAAGATTAAAGAACCAAACTGGAGCAATTTACAACACTTTTGCTAGACTCATTAAATAATAATGATGTAATATAAACATACATAGTACTGGAAATAGATGGAGTTAGAATGAAACCATAGAAATAAAACCAAACTGAGATTAACTAAGAGACCACCCACGAATATCTATCGCTGATATGCTGGGGATAAATGCAGACCAAAATTAACTTTAAATGAGATAAGAAAAATAAAAAAGGGCATAAAGAAACATTGCTATAGTACAATAGAAGAACAGGATGAAGAAATGAACATGCTTTTATATACTACTAGTGGAACAAAAAGTGTTCTTTCCACGAGTCTGAGGTAGGCATAAAAGCGAGGGCACAGGAATTAAGTTCATGTAGGTAATAAAAATTTAAAAATAGTACTAAAATCAAAAGAAAAAGAACATAAGATTGAATACACGGTTTTGTTTCAGAGACTCCTACAGCTGAATGCCAAGCCCAGTTTTACTCAGTGGTCACTCCACACCCAGCATAAACTACAGGGCAGCATTTCTTGGAACACTTCTAATCTATGAGGCCCTTCAAACAACACCACAATGAGTTCTAATTTTTCTGAAAGGAGAACAATTTTCAGAGCCACAATCACACAATCTCAAGTTTATATTCATTTTGCAAACTTGCTCATGACCTCCCCCGACATTGAGCTTAAAGCCTAGACCATAAAAGAACACCAAAGTTCCTCTTCGAACTGTGTTTCACAAGGAATGGAAAATGTATCATCCTTTCCACGATATTAGCCAACCCCATATTTTTTGCAGAGTAATATGCAAGCAAAAACAAACAATTTTTTCATTATATTCTATTTCTGCATAATTCACAGGGAAATAGAACAATACAACCTTTCAGAAACAATTAACTGTATCCTACCCTGACAAAACTTAAACTCAGAATTGACCAAAGGCTATTTGGCAAGATCATCAATACCAAACAAGCCCACCTTTTAGAACCCATGAAAGTCACAGACACATAATCATAAATTTGAATACTAGTCGTCAAAAACAGTGGAAGAACCTCTCAGCATGCTGCCTATTTCCTTCATCAAGATAAATCAACCTTGCACAAACTAAAGAAAATGAAGCAAGGAGTAGAGATGAAAGAAGAAGAGTGGAAAATGCAGAAAGAGTAAGAAAAAGAAGTGACAACCCACATCTAGGAACCAGTACTTGGCTCAGTCCACCATATCTAAAATACATCTTATCAAAAAGAAATAAAAGACACGAGAACATTGGAAAATGAAAGTTCACAGAGAAGCATAGAAAGACGGGGAAGCGTGGCAAATTTGGTTTTTTTTTTTCGGGGGGACACTGGTCTTAGACAAATAATAGATCGAGCACTAATAAATGTACCAACGGACAAACAATAATGTCAAATTGCAACCTTTGTAAAGATACATATACAGCAATACTACCACCTTTTTCCACTCCCTCCATTTTCTACAGTTCCTCCTAATTCTTCCTATCTATGTGACTTGCAAAACATGCACAATAGACAAATTTCTGAGTATAAAATACACTTACAGTTGAACCTATAGTAGAAGTTAGACCAAAGTTCAGACTTCAATATACCAAGCAAATATAATTGACACAACCCACACACCAGGACAAGTGTGAAGTGAATGTACATTTTGGGTAGCAATGTTGTAGGTTACTGTATCCCCAAATGAGAAACAATTTTTTGTCCAGAAACCACCATAATGAATGAAAAGGCAACAAGCAGGATGGAAGAGGGGCCACTAAAAATTCATGAGGAACACGGCCTGACAATCCATGTATGAATCTATATGGGCAACATTAAATTCAGTGGCCCATATCTTTTCCCTCGCAAGGCAAAAAACTTGAAACCAATGATACTATAAAAATTACCTGTGAAAAAACAATTTGAGTTTGACCTTGAATCGATTACACTTAGTTAACCATTCAGCTCATAGCAACATGGTGCAATAGCAATGCTAGTCGTCTCAGCAACATCTGGTTGGAGTTGGCCTCAAGAGAAGCTGACCTAAAAAAAGTCAAAGGGGGGAAAATAAAAGGAAAAAGAAAAGAAGAGAAAGAAAGGAAAATAAAGGGGAGAAAGAAAAAAGAAGATGAGGAAGTAAGGCCCAGGGTTTGATCAACATTGTGGATATGACAATCTTAAAATTCATAAAAATAGCATTCATCTCACACAATATTCAGCTATTACTCTCAAAAAATTTTAAGATTCAGTGGGCTGCCCTAACAGTAAAAGCTCCAGACATTTAATTACCAAAATCTGCAGCTGCATACCTTCATATACCATCAGAGAAACAACCCTGCCAAATTGATCAGATAAAGCGCCAAAAGAAACCAGCCCATGGAACCTGCACGTGTTTGGAATGTAACAGGCCCGCCAAGCCATTAAAGGTAAACAAAATGGAATGTATTATCTTCCCCAAAGAAATTGTATGCAGCAACTTATATTGATCAGATAGCCCTGGAATCAATCAAGAAGTGGATCCCCCTTCCCACATACATAAAGGCCCATCGGACTTAAATTGGAAAAAAAGTAACCGTTAAGGGATTATAAGATTCAAACAAATGACAGAACATGCAGGGTCACAATTATCCTTGAACTGACAATTCAATCAGAAATTCACTAGCTAATAATAGGGATAATAGTCCAACATACATCATCCCGATTAAGAAGTTCGCTAAAGACATTGCACAGTCAATCCCAGACGAGGAGAAGAACACTTCTTGAAAAACCTTGACTATCTCACGATCAGCTGACACAGTATAGCCAATCCATTCCTCATAGGACCTGCAAAAGAAAACAAACAGAAAGAGCATATTCATTGTATCGAAGAGCCATAAACCCACATACTGATTCTGAACGCCAAAGAAACACCAATCAATCTTCTAAGAGGTAGTCATTCTTCCAGGAACCAGGATCTCTTTCCTCAGAACCACACTTCGACAAAACTTATTGGTCAACTTGTTACTCAAATTAAACCATGCCTCCATGCAAGTGTAACAGCTGTCGCCACATCCCCCAGGCAAATATTGAAAGCAGCATTATATCACATTCCTTCAGCTCTAAGTTGTTCACTCGTGATAGCGTCAGTTTTCTCATGATCACTGTCATCCCCCCCAGAATTGTTGTAATCATCCTCATTGTTGACAACTTTCCCATTGTCATTTTTTGTAACCAAGGAGCCCTTGTAAGTCGATGACAGAGAAACTGGTGTCCCATCATCCTTTACATTCATTGAATCCTTGAAATTGAGATCAAGTTCAGCACCGAAATCCTCATACTTGACAGGTTCTCTATCATGTTGTTTTGTATTTTCATATATTCCATTATCATTCGAGTGATTTTTATTTTCTGCAGATTTTGACCTTGAGCGCCTTCGGTATTTTGGTTTGTGTTCATCTGAATGTCTTGGTGACATCCTACTTCCCTTGTGCCGCTTATTTTCACAGGATTTTGACCTGGACCGCCTTCTGCCATGGTCCTTTGATTTCTCTTCTCTACTTCTGTCATTTTTATTACTTGACTGATTCTTATCTTGTGGAGATTTGGACCTAGAACGCCTTTTGTGTTTTGATTTACTTTCGTCCAAAACTCTTGCAGACAATCTACTTCGTCTGTGACCCTTATCTTCTGCTGAGGCCGACCTGGAGCGCCTGCGGTGCTTCGACTTTCTTTCTCTGCTTTCATCAACTTTATCATTGGAGCGATGCTTACCTTCTGCAGATTTTGATCTGGAACTCCTCCTGTGTTTTGGTTTTATTTCATCATCACTCCTTGGGGATGACCTACTTCCCCTCCGGTGCTCTGGAGATCTTGAAGCTGCACGAGAAGATTTCCTAGTCCTATGTGTTGGACTTTCTCGGCGACGTTTTGGCGACTCTGAATCATCTCGATATGACTTTCTGGTTAGAGGACTAGTGCTCCTACTCCTATATCTCCTCAAAGCAGAAGAATGATGATCATGTAAGCGATCCGAATCCTGCCTTCTACTTTTCTCACTGCTATCCCTAACATCCCTATATGACCGCCTTTCACTTTCATAGCGGGAGTAATTGCGAGACCTAAATGGTGATCTGGATCTATGATCTCTTGAGACACGGGGACGAGGTGAAAAAGAGCGAGACCTTCGCTTTCGGCGATAACTGACAGGAGATCTAGACTTGGATCTTGACCTTGCACGGGTGGTGGATGGTGACCTATGAACAGTTGCAGTTGTCAGTCTAACAAGTTTTGGCAGGAATGAAACGAGGCAAATAAAAACAAATTAAATTTTAGAACACAACATGAAGGATAAATGGCTACTCACATGAAAATCAAATTCTACTCCTGTGTAAGCTTCTACCTTGGAAGTCAGTTATGTATAACCAAGAAAGGGGAAATAGGGAACTAATCACATGGAGAACAAAAAGCAAGCTTACACAAAGCATAAACAGAAAGCACAAGCACATGCAACCACGTGAAAATTCATTAAAAGGTAAGATGGATGAAATTGTCTCAAGCAAATATTCTCTCAACTTTATTATGAATTTGGAACTTCAAAAGAATTTACAAAACAATTAATCCACCAACAATAAAGGATTTTTAATAATTGTGCAACACACTGCCTCAGGTCCAAGCATGCACTGATATATGAATTATCCTTTAGGGGGCACAAAAGTATTTACAAAAATAACCAATGTCTATTCTGTTGTTACTAACAAAGTTAAGTGTCAAATATAGGTTATTTACAAACCACCACTAATTAGACAAAACTAATTGGATGTTCTAAATTTAGGCCAATATTTGGACCTTTTCAACAGGGATATGTATGGGCTTTAGAATTTAAAAAGGAAATTTCTTGGTCCTATTATCAGAGATTGCAAATATATTTTTTTGGTTTCGGGGGATGTTTATATATTTCACAGACTATATTCACAATCACAATACATAGCAACCCAACAAAAATGTTGGAAAATTTGGGAATGTGGGTGACCATCTCCGTCTAAAATACCAAAATGTCAACCAACGAGGCAAAATATGTTCACAAGTTCCGGTAAACTCGATTAAGATAAGATTTGAAACATTTGTGTGTTATATCTGTTCAAAGCATAATGCGAGCATGAAATGCCCGCCAGGTTGCCTAAACATGGCAATAAATTTTTGCCCATGTGCAATGTTCAGCCAAAGAAAGGTGGCAATTTTCATGTGTTAAAATTTAAGATAGACATCAAAAGCAAGTAAAATATCAAGTATGCCACTTATTTCATACAAAACTGCATCAAAAATATTACCATAAAGAAGAGGCATTTTCAGATTAAATAACAGTATCCTTCAAATTTACTGACATATCCGTACATAAATTTTTTTCCCCGATAAGAATATTCATACATACACTTGGAAAGAAGCCATTATGCACAAATAAATAGTAACAAAGTTTTCTCCACAATACGTACGCCAAAAAATCGGATTTCAAGTCAGACCTACTTAATTCAAAACCTCAAATCACCATGCACTTTTCCCAACAATCAACTCGTGACACAACTGTAGCGAAACTCTGACTTTATCTGGCTTTTAGAGAATCTGCTAGAGTTTAAACAGATAGTATTCTCCTCAAGGCAGAAATACCAATTTCATGCCCTCCAAGAAAAACTAAAAAACTACAATAAAAATTTTTGAATAAGAAAAAGCATATAAAACCATAGAAGACCCATATTTTTGGGGTAATCATCTCTCAAATTCAATTCATAAGCCCCAGGGTACTTAAACGGTAAAGCAAAATGAGGTGCTTAGGCGAGAGGCAAAGCAAGAGCTTCATTGGAGCAAGGCGAATATTATAAAAACCAAGCACATATTTTCCCTTATTTACTGCTAAATACTCAAGTTCTATTTCTAAAATTCAAGATACTGCAACCAAATGCAGAAACATTCAAATTCAAAGCCAACACCAATAACATCTTGAATCCTAATGACAACTACAGGCATAAACATTTAAATTCAAATAAATACTAATAATATCTCAAATCTTAACAACTATCCACATTCAAATTCAAAAAAACACAAAAAATACCCCGAAATCTAACATTTGAGAACACACAAGTCAAGTCACTAAACATTTCGTTAGGTTCCGTTTCTCACTCTCATGCAGCCTCTTAATTCGATCAACATCTGTCAGTGAAAATGTATATGCATAGAACTATACTCTGCTCTCCTAGGGCACATCCAATTTTTATCCAATTGACTAGATCCAAGGGTCCAAACTTATTGACAAAGCAACAAAAAAATCCCAAAACGAGTTCACTTCGTCACCCCACGCTTAATCTAGAGCGCTCACTTTTTTCGNATATATGCATAGAACTATACTCTGCTCTCCTAGGGCACATCCAATTTTTATCCAATTGACTAGATCCAAGGGTCCAAACATATTGACAAAGCAACAAAAAAATCCCAAAACGAGTTCACTTCGTCACCCCACGCTTAATCTAGAGCGCTCACTTTTTTCGCTTCAGACAACACGCCTCACCTTGGACCACTTGTGGCGACCTAGATTTGTCTGACCTCGCCTTTGCACCTAGGGGAATGCCTAGGCGAGCTTTTAAGAACCCTGATAATCCCAATTACTGTAAACATTAAGTTTTACTTTTCNTGACCAAGATTTGTCTGACCTCGCCTTTGCACCTAGGGGAATGCCTAGCCGAGCTTTTAAGAACCCTGATAATCCCAATTACTGTAAACATTAAGTTTTACTTTTCCATAATTCAAATTGACATAAAATGTGAAGAAAAAACATTATTAATTCATATCCCATATACGACGTGCCTAGAGGCATTAAAAAAACCAGGAAGATACCTAGATTTTTGTGTTGTTTCCTCATCTTCTGGCAAAAGTCCATCAGCTTTCAACTTCCTACTGATTTCTGCAGCTCTAGCTGCTGCTAGATCTGTCGCAGACTTCATGGTTGCAGCTCGGCTAGCTGCCTGCTGTGCAGCCATTGTCTGTTGCATTACAAGAGCCTGCTGAAAATGCATCTGTTGCATTGCAACTGCTTGCTGCATCATCACAGGCAAACTGGATGAAGACAGTGGTGAATTCAATATTGCTGGTCTAGGAGGTAGTGATTTTGCCATTTCAACATTCAGTGGGCGACCCGCAACCTCTATATTGTTCAATGCCAAAGCAGCAGTTGCTTCTTCAGGTTTTGAATATTCTATGTAAGCAAAATGCTTGGAATCGGTGATAGTACAATCAACCACCGTGCCACAAAAACTAAAAAGTTGTTTCAACTGATCCACTGTGAGAAGTGGAGTGAGGTTGCTAACTTGTAGAGTTTTCTTCAGGGAATCAGACTTGCACTCTCCGTCAGATGATCCTGATAACAAGAGCAATACAAATGGTGAGAAATCTGGCACCAGAAGGCATGAAGCATTGAATTCCCACTACATATAGTGCATGAAAAACTGGCAATAAAATTTGTTATTTGAAAATCAACAATTAATGTATCAAGTACTTGTGAGAATGTGAAACCATATTAACTAAAAATAATACTAATGTTATACATGGAACAATATAATTTTATAAACAAAAGAAGTTTGGTTTTTTTAGTTAAGTAGTTGATTGATAGCAAGAATAAACAACTTGTGGTGAAGAAGGGACATCTAGCTAATAGCCATCAATATGCTGTCACGCACATGGGCCATTCAAAATCACAATACGATAAGGTTTAAGGATACCAGAAGAGTCTCTGGTGGACAGAGCTTGAGCTTGCGCCTGAGCAGCATGGGCTTGAAGTGCTTGAGCAGCAACAATGGCCTGAGCAGCAGCCATTGCAGCTGCAGAAGGTGCCATGGGCATTTGACTGAGAGTTCCCATGGTCGTTGTGGCAGCTAATGCAGTCATTAACAAGTTGTGAGGCGGGTGACTGAACTTGCAATCTGTTTTCGCACACCGTCCGTTAAGATATTCTCGGCACACTTCCCCAAGAGATGCCCCAATACCAGGCAAAACTGCCCCACCAGAAGCACCAGGAACAATTCCTGGAATCATTCCAAGCAACCCCGGGACAGCCCCCGAGAAAGAACCAGAGTAATTTGGCATGTTAGGCATGGTCTGGTTAACTAAATTCGGAAATGAGGCTGCTGGAGCCAAACCCAGCAGCCCTCCAGTAGTGGTGCCTGCACATCATATGTGAACCCCAAAATTAATCACCAGCTAGAACAACTCATAATGCCTTTCCAGAACACTGAGTGTAGCATGCTTAGTTCAAGAACAATTCAATATGAATTTAGTTGGCAATAAAGCTATGCATTCTAAAACGGAAATGACAGAAAGAAGCTTTTTCTCAGTCTTAAACCAATAGATACTAGTGCCAGTTTTTATTCCCTCTGACGATAAAATTCCCATATCACTTCCTCCATTCTTTGTTTATAGTCTCCTTTCCATTTTAAGGTGTCCCAATACAATGTTTCACTTTGGTTTGTGGAGAACAGTTAGGAGATTCCCTACACTATCATTTGGATGGACTTAGAAGTTACCATCCATGTGAATTTCTTTGTTTTTTAAAGTGGACTTATGGAAACATGAACTTCATTTCTCGGTGAATGCATTAATAACGACTCTGTAAAAAACTGGATTCCCTAAGAGGGATTATTGTTTTATAAGTAAAAATCCACACAATGAAGCAGGGTTTTGATCATTCAGTAATTTACAAACCAACAAATTACATAGAAATCTATCATAAGGTGTGCGTCACTTTATAAGACTAAGTGAAGATATTAACTATATGGACATAAAATCAGGATATGCATAGTCAAATGGCTATGTAGACAAAAACTTTGTTAGAATAACAATGTGAACATAAACCATAAAACTGACCAAAGGATACACAGTGAAAAAATTATCTAATTATATGTTCAATAAAATCAGTAAAATATACACTTAACAAGATATTCATGTCTATATAGAAATAATACTCCACATAAGTACCTGCACTGAAGAACACTGGGAACGGACTACCCATGATGGGTTTCCCATTACACTCGACATTTACCATGTAATTCCCTCTCTTTGGAACCACGTATGTGACAGTGTATGACCCGTCTCCCATATCCTTCACAATTCCATCCTGCTCCGATCCCCCAACCCCCACTCCAGGGGCAACCTTCACACTAATCTGGGCCCCACCATGCAGCACTTTCCTTCCATCTGCATCCTTTGTCACCACCACAAATGATGATGGCGCGCAAGCCGTGCCACCTGCAATTCCAGTCCCAGCAGCCATGCACTTGGTGGGATCCACTGGGCCGATAGGCTTATTTGCTAAGTCTTCCGCTTCCTCCTCGCCGTCACTATCAGATGACGCTACAGTAGCTTCACGGTTCTTATCCACATCCTTGAACGTAGCCTCAAATGCTGCCTTGGCAGCAGCGGCTTTTTCGGCCTCACTCTTCAGTTTTGCTTCTTCAGCTTGCTTCATCCATATCGGCTTGACGACCGCCAGGTTACGATCAGCCATGAAATTTAAAGAAATTCACAAAAACTCCGAATCCCCAAACCCTAATGAAATTTATCACGAAAAAAAAAACCTCAAATCAAACCGTTCGACAATCACCATAATTATCACAAATCTGCTGAAAAATTAACTAAATCAGCCATAAAACCGTAGTTTCAACCAAATGCACAAACACTAAAGCATACAGTCCTCAAAACCCTAGTAAAATCAAGGAATCAAACACAAGTACGATCAATACTCCATTTTAGGTCCTTTTTCCAACTGATTATTAAATAGAATAAACCCTAATGAAAGCATGGACGAGAATCAGGACGTTTACATATGGGAAAAAAAAATCGAGCTACGCAAAGGGCTCGGAGACTAGAAGATTCGAATTGTAAAATTTTAATTAAACAGATAACAACAGATTCAGTTCGCTCTGTATGTATTTCGGAGAGAGAGAGAGATGCGTACCTTCGTTCAGACGTCGGTTTGAGGGAGGGCTGTGGGGGGAATTGTAATCGAAAGAAAGAGATTGACTAGGAAGATATATTAAGAGAGCAAAGGGCGAATTGCCCCTTCCTACCTGAAAAGATTTTAAATTCTTTTTTTTTTTGGTCAGATAGACAAATCAACACACACAATCCACACATCAGTTACAAATTTTTATTTTATACTTTTAAAATTTTAATTATTAATATTATATTTTTAATATATCAAAAATGTTATAATATAATCCTCCTCTTAACTTTCTATTATTAGTTTTTCGTAGTGCCCATAGGTTGACTTTGATAAAAAAAATAACAAAAATTATCAAAAAAGTTATATTACAACATTTTTGATACATTAAAGGTATAATATAAAAAATTTAATTTTTAAGAATATAAAATAAAAATTTTAAAATCTTTCAGAATACAAAATACAAAAAATCCAAGAGCAAAATGCATTTTTAGTCTTCAAAGTTCAATATTTGGATCCTTACCTTTTTCAAACTTAAATTTAAATTTGAGTAAAAAATCCTTAAAAAAAAAATTCAGTATTATACATAAACTCTTACCAAATCAAATAAATCAAGGAAGACTCAAAATTTTACCTAAATTAAATAAAATTCAAACATTTACTCAAATCAGTGATGGGTAAATNTTTATAATATAATACTCCTCTTAACTTTCTATTATTAGTTTTTCGTAGTGCCCATAGGTTGACTTTGATAAAAAAAAATAACAAAAATTATCAAAAAAGTTATATTACAACATTTTTGATACATTAANGTTATAATATAATCCTCCTCTTAACTTTCTATTATTAGTTTTTCGTAGTGCCCATAGGTTGACTTTGATAAAAAAAATAACAAAAATTATCAAAAAAGTTATATTACAACATTTTTGATACATTAAAGGTATAATATAAAAAATTTAATTTTTAAGAATATAAAATAAAAATTTTAAAATCTTTCAGAATACAAAATACAAAAAATCCAAGAGCAAAATGCATTTTTAGTCTTCAAAGTTCAATATTTGGATCCTTACCTTTTTCAAACTTAAATTTAAATTTGAGTAAAAAATCCTTAAAAAAAAAATTCAGTATTATACATAAACTCTTACCAAATCAAATAAATCAAGGAAGACTCAAAATTTTACCTAAATTAAATAAAATTCAAACATTTACTCAAATCAGTGATGGGTAAATTTTATTATATTTTAAAGATCTAATAGTCCTATTTTACCCTCTTTTAAATTTGAATTTTTCCTCTTTTAAATTTAAATTTGTCTATTAAAGCCATATGTATCAAAGCAAGTTTTTTACTTAAATATTAACTCAAATTTAAGTAAAAATTAAGTCATTATTAGAGATACTCTTACAATTTACTATCCAATCTTTTAATTGTATCAATTTAGTCACTTAAATATTCAGTTTACTTCACTTTAGTCCCATTAAAAATGGTGATTTAAATTAACTAATAGAGGTAATCATGTGTGCATTTCACATGAACGCATTTGAGAGGCATTTTTAGATCAGGTAAAGGACTAAAGGGATACAAATTGCAAATGTGAAGAATCAAAATGACATACATTGTAAACTTGATGGACTAAAGTGACCCTTTAAGGGTATGTTTGGATGGCAGGGTTGGAGTTGATTGGATATCTAAAAAGATATCATTTCTCATTCAATCCAAACTCACTAAGCTATCATTCGGATACGATATAAATTGATGTATCTAGTCCTTTCTCCTGTTTGGGTAAATTATATATTTTTGTGGGGCTCATAGATAAAAGTGACATAATTTGTTTTCATCAACTATTATACCCCTATCCTATCTTATCCACCACCAAATTTGGTTTATAAATTTGCCTCCAACCCATTCCAAACAAAAAATAAACTAAAAATTTAGCATTTTATTTCCAATTGACGCCAAAATCATGTTCATATGTAGTAAAAAAATAAGTTCTTTTCTTCTGCCTTACTTGACCGACAAAAACACAATATCGGTAGCAATGGGCAAAGAAGAAGAGGAGCAACGGCGGCTATGAGCAATGGTATGTTATAGTGTGAGCAAGAGAAGAGACCAGCGACTTATTTGAGGCAGTGACATACGATATGGAGATCTTTTGATCTAGGGGTAGGTATATTCGTAAATTGCATTACATATCCTGTCTGGCAAAAAAACATCACAGCTCCCCATTGGGTTTTATTTAACCCATATAGGTGGGTTAAAGTTGACTTTTCAAATCAAGTCGGTATAAAATCCAAATGGAATTTCCTATCCATTTTTTACTTAGCAACCATGGGATGTGTGGGCCCTATATGTTTTTTTTTATCCTATCCTACCATAGTTATTAACCTTTAACCCGCGATTTAAACATATCCTGAGTGTAGTCACATGAGACGCACGTGAATACCTTAACTAGTCAATTTAAACTATCATTTTCAATTGTACCAAAATGACACAAAGTGAATATTTGAGGAATAAAATTTATACAATTCAAAAAATAAGAATCAAAGTGAACGCTAACCACATACTTTATTGACTGTTGATGCCTCTATAGATTACTATATTTTAGCCTATATTAAATTTTCTTTTTATCGGTCCTAACATTTCTACATGGGATATTTTTTGTTTGGAGCTGGATTATCTCATTATCGCAGACAAAACCCCATCTTGTCCTACTTATTTNTATATTCGTAAATTGCATTACATATCCTGTCTGGCAAAAAAATATCACAGCTCCCCATTGGGTTTTATTTAACCCATGTAGGTGGGTTAAAGTTGACTTTTCAAATCAAGTCGGTATAAAATCCAAATGGAATTTCCTATCCATTTTTTACTTAGCAACCATGTGATGTGTGGGCCCTATATGTTTTTTTTTATCCTATCCTACCATAGTTATTAACCTTTAACCCGCGATTTAAACATATCCTGAGTGTAGTCACATGAGACGCACGTGAATACCTTAACTAGTCAATTTAAACTATCATTTTCAATTGTACCAAAATGACACAAAGTGAATATTTGAGGAATAAAATTTATACAATTCAAAAAATAAGAATCAAAGTGAACGCTAACCACATACTTTATTGACTGTTGATGCCTCTATAGATTACTATATTTTAGCCTATATTAAATTTTCTTTTTATCGGTCCTAACATTTCTACATGGGATATTTTTTGTTTGGAGCTGGATTATCTCATTATCGCAGACAAAACCCCATCTTGTCCTACTTATTTTTTTGCTAATGATTCTCTTTTCTTTCTCAAGGCAAACAAGGGGGATGTACACCATTTTTCACAAGCACTCTACAAAGATATTGTGAAGCCTCTAGCCAACTTATTAACTTTCAAAAATTTGGGATGCTCTTCTCTAGTAATACATCAACCGAAATGNACCATTTTTCACAAGCACTCTACAAAGATATTGTGAAGCCTCTAGCCAGCTTATTAACTTTCAAAAATTTGGGATGCTCTTCTCTAGTAATACATCAACCGAAATGTGGGACATCCTTAGTCAATTGTTGGGAATCTCTACCTTACCCAATAACGCTAAAATATCTTGGAATTCCTTTTTTTTGGGGACGCTAAAAAATTGATACTCTTAACTACATTGTGGAAAGGGTCATTAAAAAACTCCAAGGATGGAAAGAAATTTTCTTGTCCCAAGTGGGTAAGGAGACTCTAATCAAGGCGGTGGTGGTTCAAGCATTACCAACTTATGCAATGTCTTGTCTGGTTATCCCCACAAAGTTGTGTGATAAAATCACTATTTATGTGAGACTTTTTTGGTGAGGAAAAATAGTAAAAATGGTGGAATTTGCTAGAGGAATGGGAGGACATGACACTACCGAAAAGCTTTGTGAGAAATAGGCTTCCGTGATCTTAATTGTTTTAACCAAGCACTCCTGGTGAAGCAATGTTGGGGTCTGGTCCAAAACCCAAACTCGTATTGGGCTCGAATCATAAAGTCAATCTATTTTCCCAATGCTAACTGTATGGAGGCGAGAAAGGGTGCTAGGCCTTCTTGGATATGGAACAACCTATTGTTTGGAAGAGAACTACTCTTTAGAGGGATATAAAAGAATTTTGGAACATAATACATCTCACTTGGATTATAATACCAAATCTGTTGGTGGTATTGAAATAGACCTATTAGAACGAATGTAGGGTATTAAAAAATATAATTAGTATACGTACTTAAAATAATACTATACATAATACATAGTCAAATTTAAGTAACAGACGCATTAATCCAATACAATGATTTACCCTCATAATACAACAACCAAATGAGTCAATAACTTTTTCAAGTTGGGATTTCCAACCCAACACATCAAAACATTACAAAATACATTTTATACATGTAATTTTGCCAAAAAATCTAGCATAATCATCAAATACCCATGTTTTGTAATATTTATTTCTTAATCCTAACATTTTAGGCAAATATACAAGCATGCATACTGACGACCCCAGATTCAAGCCAGACCTGTACCTAGTCCATGGGTTAAGCCCATCATTAAAAGAAATGTCAGACTCGTTCATGGCCTCAATTTAATCCAAAGCTCAAAAGTCCAGAAAGAGTCAGCACACGTGGGAGAGCAATCATTGGAATAGCCATGAATTCAAGATAGTGTCTATACCCAATTGTAGCTATCCTCTCGGTAGATTAGTAGCTAGCCCTTCATGTCACTACCTCAACTAGGGCTTTATACGCCCATAAATTGTAAACCCCCTACACATAAGAACAGAGCCCACACACATACACTTTGAGCATACTTTTGCTCTCTCTATCTCTCTCTCTCCTACTATCTTGTACTCCCTCATTAATAGAATTTTCTGGTCATAGTTGTCTCTTTCAATGGTTAGGTCATCTAGACTCAACCACTCAATCTTTATTTTTTATTATTATTTATTAATTGATTCATTAATTGTTTTACACTATACACACTCAACTGATTTCATTGCGCATAATCAACTTTTTGTATCATTACATACAACACATGAGAAATGGGTAAAAAATACTCCACCTTGATCCAAGATTTCCAA